TTGTTTTAATTTATTGTTTCCTGACTGCTGTAAGATTGAGTAGCTTTTAATATGTTTCAGACTGTTTTGTGCCAAAATATATATTGATACATATATACATTCTGCTTATACATATAGAGCCGTATTAGGCACACTGTTTTGTGATTTGTTTTCCAATCTAATACTTTTAATATAGAAAGTATATATAGTCCCTCATTGGGCCGACCCCATGGCTCACTCGGGAGAGTGCGGCGCTGGGAGCGCAGCGGTGCTCCCGCTGCAGGTTCAGATCCTATATAGGGATGGCCGGTGCACTCACTGGCTGAGCGCGGTGCAGGTGACACCAAGCCAAGGGTTGCGATCCCCTTACCGGTCACAAAGAAAAAAATATATATATAGTCCCTCATTGTAGTAAGGAAGATAGTATGCTAGTTTTGAGGGACAGTGACAGGAAACTAATTGAAGCAGATGTTTTAAGCCTAGTGACAGGTGTTTAAGTGCCATTTGGGGAGAAATCCTTGGGAACTGTTTTAAATTAATTCAAGCATAGAAAATACTTTTTTATTGATATATTTACTTGCGTGAATTATATGTCTTGAGTTACCATCGTTGCCTTTCTGCTTGCAAATCAATTTTTATTGTCTCTGACTGACACGTGCTTCCTAAAATTTCCTTGTGCTGTTTTCTGACAATGTAAAATCCCTTGAGTCTAATTTTTGGAATTAATAATAAGTCTTTACTATAGAAGAAATGAGGATTTTTTTTCCCCCAAGAATGATTCTAATGGAAAATAGATTTGAATATAAAGTTGATCCTATACCTTTTAGGGTCTTATAAGCTAACATTTTATTTTTAAAATTTGGGTAGCTATGCCGAAAGAAAATAATTTTTTAAATTTAGAGTGCCACAACATTGTCTGTCGTTTCTTCCCTTTTCTAAAGGATTTCCTCAGGCTTTGGATTTTTCTAATATGCAAACTATTATTAAAAAGTTGAAATATAAATATTGTTTAGATATCACAATATCTTTTTTCCTAAAATAATATTATCTTCACTGAAGAGAATGTGACACATTTTTTCAAATGTGTCATTATTTTAGCATTGTTAATTAGGTAACAAGCTTATTTTTATATTTGAATTAGATTACTATAATATTAAGGTACATAGAGGTCACCATGGAAGGCGACACAGAGATCATCTGGTCCATCTTTCGTTTGATAAAGGAAAAGGCTAAGGGCGCGAGATTAAGAAACTTTCCTGATTGTACATCCATGACTTAGGGCTCATATTTTTTTCATTAGTTAATACTGCGTGCTGTGGTTTTTAAACTCTTGGTGCCAGAGACTTCGACACCATTTCACAATATTACCAATGTTTTTATAAGAAACCTGAGAGGTGCCTGGCATTTTATCTGTTTCACTGAAAAGGAAATTTAAGATCAGGAAGGTTGAAGCAACTTGCCCAGCTTTTACATTGCTCATAACTGAGGAGCTGGGATTTCAAGTCAGGTCTGTCTGATTCAAAGCCTGTTATTATTGGTACCTCTTTCATCTCTGATTTATGGAGAAAACAGGAAAGGAAAAAAAGCTCTTGTTAAAGTGCTATAGTAACTGAAAGGCACGAAACATCTCATCCCTTCTTCATGGGGAATTTCTCCATAAATTACTTTGATTGAAAAAAGATGCTTCTAACTTTCTGCATGAACCGCTTTTCTTTCTTTTAGGTGTCTCGTCATGAACGTCGAATTTCTCAGATTCAGCAGTTGAACCAGATGCCTTTGTATCCAACTGAGAAAATTATATGGGATGAAAATATTGTCCCAACTGAGTACTATTCTGGGGAAGGTATGGTAAAGATATGCAGGATTCAGGTCTAATATGAAAATTAATTATGTTAACATGAAACTACGTTACATCATATGTAATTAAAAATGACTCTAGTCTACTCTATACATTAGGGTAACTTTCTGGTACCCTGAAGTTCAACTTTACAAGCTAGAAAAGATTTAGTATTTTGAATGCTTAGCACTAAGAATTTTTATTAAATCTAACTATACCCTAGTATGTGTATCACCCTGTATAAACTATGACTATAAAGCAGTAAGACTGTGTTTTTAAGGAGATCTAATAATGCAGGAACTGTAGCTTTTATTGTGTCACTATGAGAGACTGTGTTTGGCAGAGCTTTATTTTTCAAAGACTTTTTTAGAGGCTCTTGAAATCTTTGTAAACGTCAGGTAATGACCACCAAATAGACATTATCACTAGTTGATAATAAACCCTTAGTTTTGATCCAAAATGGTATTGCCTAGTTTGTTCACCTACCTATTACACTAGATTTGGTTCTAAGTGCTTTTCACTCATCCTCTGAGGACAAGAATTTGCCACAATTGAGTATGTGCAAAAGTGCTGTCTGACATATTTTGAAGGCATATTTCAAAAGAAATTTCAGGAAATCATTATTAGAAGAAATGTAGATATTTTAAAGACATCACAAGTACAAGTATTGATACATTTATTTAAAAGAAAAAATGGTTACTTTAGAGTCATATCCTAGACCCATAACTCCAATAAACCCAGTGTACTAAAATTGTGCTAGATTTCAGAATAGGCAGTCTTCATATCTTTTTATGTCCTTATAGTGGTTAATGTGTTGTTTTCTCATGTCTAGGGGTGCACACTTGGGTGATAAAGCTATAAAGAAATTTGAGATAATGATTTTTATACAAGTCAGGAAATGGTTACTTTCAGGTTGAAGGAAGAAGCTGTAACTAGGAAGGGGCACATGGGAGAGTTCTGGTATGGCCGAAAAGGTTTTAAACTACTTAAGACTGTATTAGTGTTAAGTATCTTCAAATACTTTGAAGAAGCACTGTTTACAAATGAATCACTGATAATGCAGATTACATGAGTTAATAAACTCATCTTTTATTCCCAGTCTTTTTTTTTTTTTTTTCCTTTTTGTCTTTTTTCGTGTCTGGCAACGGATCGCAACCCTCAGTGTCACACCCGTACCAGACCAGACCGGCAACGGGATCGCAACCCTCAGTGTTGCATCCGCACCTCGCTCAGCCAGTGAGCGGGAACTGGTCTGTACGTGGGATCCGAACCCTCGGTGGGAGTGCTGCCATGCTCCCAAGCGGCGCACTGTAGCAGTGCGCCACCGGGCCGGCCCCTATTCCCAGTTCTTAATAGATAGCATTTGTTAGCCTGTTTTTAATATCTGTGTGAAAATAAAAATAAGACATTATTGAACATACCACATTTCAGACATCATTAGATTCTTACCAAGTTTGTGGTGCCATTTTTTGTCCATAGAGCAGATGTCTGATTAAAAGAATAATTCAAATATAGATATTATTTTCCTTTTCAGGTTGTCTTGCTCTTCCCAAGTTGAATTTGCAGTTTTTGACTCTTCATGACTACCTCCTAAGGAACTTTAATCTCTTCCGCTTGGAATCAACATATGAAATTAGGCAGGACATCGAGGATAGTGTCAGCAGAATGAAACCATGGTTAGTAAATTGATTCTACTTGTAATGAAGAGATGCAAACAGTGACTCATATACTTCCATCAGAAACCTTATTAGTATATTTAGAAATAATATACCTGGCGTGAAGATGCCGTCCAAGATGGAGATATTTACTCTTTAGGAAATTCTTTAATGTGAATTAAAATATATTGAAAGTGCTAAAATATGTATCTGGATATTTGGGGGTGGGGCTGGGGGACTGGAGATAAGGGAGAAAAAATCATCATGCTCAGGGAGGGAAGGGAGAAATGTAGAGTAGGTTGGACATTAGTAAAAGTATAAAAAGGAAAGTATAGGGTTTGGCCAGCAGGCCTGTACTAGGGCAGGACAGTTTAAGTCCTGGACGAAGTTTATGAAACTACTCTTGTGACTGTTGCCAGTAGTCTCTAAGTGAATCAGAGAGGATGGGGGATGTCTCCAAACATTACACAGAGTGGTACACTGGAAAGTCTTCTCTGGCCCTCCATCCATAGATTACCTTGAAAAGACTAAATCATTAGGATTTACTTTTAGGGCCAGATGAGTAGGTCTGATTATTTGAGGAACTCTTTTGCTTAAATTTGACTCCTCATCTGCTAGTTCATGTCTGGAATTCCTTTAGCTAAGAAAAATCTCTTATTCTAGTTATTGTAGGCAGATTTACATTTCAAGATTTTTGAAAGTTGATTTTTTTATTCATGACTAAGTTTTGGTAGATGCTCTTTATTCACTATTTCACTCTAAGTATAAAATTGATGGAGGTAAGTTATATATCACAAGTGATTGTAAATGAGTAAAATTAATTCCGTGAACTAGATTTTTATTACGTTATAGTCATACCATATATACATATAAAATTATACTGCGTTTTATGTGAAAAGCTTAACATTTTTAATGTGAACTGATTCAGGTATTTTCCAGACTTCTTTCCTTACTAATTACAGAGAGCTACCATGGACACTGTGATTATGATCTATTTTTTTCACTTCCATATTTTATTTTATACACAGTTTTATTTTTTTAATTATTATGCAAAAAGTTATTCTGGGTGAAACTATAAAACACAACACAAAGTATTTTTGACTTAATAATCAGTTGAGTCAGTAGGCAGGCTAGCACTGTGAAATTTGTATGCCCTCTGGCTGATCCTCCCTGCCCACAGCTTTGCTGAAATTATTGCCCATTGTTCGGACCCGGGGGAGTGCTTGATCAGAAAACTTCCTAACTATTTATTGTTACCTTGAGTTTATGTGCTCAGATTCTAGACCTAATTTGGGCCATTTTATGAACTAGGGATTTATTAACTAGCCAGTTAACAAATAGAATTCACTTGTATTTTACTTAAGCATCAAATACAAAAAAAATACTTAGAGTACTTATGTTCTATTAATAAAGGAATTTTTTTTAATTATGCCATTTTCTAGTAGGAGGAAGAAAATGTCACTTTTTGGAGTTAATTCATTCACAATTGTAATAATAAATTTTCCTAAATTTACGTTCTTTTTATACATCATTGAAAACTATTAAAAATGACGAGATCTAAAAAGGGGCCAGCTTCTTTTTGTCCCATCTATCCTAAAGGTAGAAATGGAGCAGAGGCATTTTTATTCATTACATGATTCTAATATCACATTTTCATCCTGCTGGAACCACTGAACAGTAATAGGAGAGGGTGTGCTCATAAGAGGCAGAAATCTATATTTTTTAATGCTTCACATTTCAAGTAGGTTTCATAAGAATAAGGAGTAAGAGGAGTAAATTAGTGGTTGCCTGGGGGTAAGAATTGACTACAATTGGACAAGAGGGATCATTTTTAAGGATGATGGAAATGTTCTAAAATTTGATTGTGATGATGGATACACAACTCTGTAAATTTACTAAAAGTTATTGACTTATACATTTACAGTAAATAAATTTTATGGTATGTAAACTATAGTGCAGTAAAGCCATAAAAAATGGAAAAGATGATAGTTATTTCACAAGGGCTTAACAAAGTTAGTCTTGTAGAAATTGTCCCAGTACTAATCAATTTGTTGGACTGTAGAATTTTAATTTCTCTCTTTGATGTTATGAAGTTTACAATTTTTTTTGTTGTGACATAAAGCCTTTACATAGGATGTAGTTTATCTCTGTAAGCATGCCATTTTTAGGAGTACTTTCCAATTTTGCAATGCTGCTGCAGATTTTATGTTACAGATTTCCCATATACACTATTTAATGTAAAAACTAAAGCACTAGTTAGACTAACATAAGAAGAAAGAAAGAATATTTGGATGTCAGTGGTTCTGGTTATTACAACTAGATTGATTATTTTTTCCTTCAATCCATAAGAACTTCTTTTAAATAATTTAAATACTGTTATCTAAAGGAGGCATTTGTATAGATATAATCATCTGTTTACTTGTTTTTAATTTTGTAAATTCTGATTATTTTTTCCTTCAATCCATAAGAACTTCTTTTAAATAATTTAAATACTGTGATCTAAAGGAGGCATTTGTATAGATATAATCATCTGTTTACTTGTTTTTAATTTTGTAAATTATAGCTTGTTCTAAACCATATTTGAAGCACCTTATAGAAATATTTAAAGTACAGAAGATAAAATATTAACAGTCTATTGATGAAGAGGGGAAAAAGAAGAGAATATAAAATAAAACTAAGTAAAGCTGTCCTTCAGAAATGAAGAAGAGATAAAGACAAACAAAAGCTGAGGGAGTTCATCATCACTGACCTGCCTTGCAAAAAATACTAAGGGGAGTTCTTCAAGCTGAAATGAAAGTACGATAATTAGTAACATGAAAAGACCCCAAACAGATAAAGCAATGAGGGGAAAAAGAAGAGAATATAAAATAAAACTAAGTAAAGCTGTCCTTCAGAAATGAAGAAGAGAGAAAGACAAACAAAAGCTGAGGGAGTTCATCATCACTGACCTGCCTTGCAAAAAATACTAAGGGGAGTTCTTCAAGCTGAAATGAAAGTACGATAATTAGTAACATGAAAAGACCCCAAACAGATAAAGCAATTTTGATCAAGAAGAACAAAACTAGAGGCATCACACATCCCTATTTCAAATTATATTAGAAAGTTATAATAACCAAAACAGTATGGTACTAGCATAAAAACAGACACACAGAGCAATGGAAGAGAATAGAAAGCCCAGAAATAAATCCACACATGCACTATCAACTAATCATCGAGACATGTGCCAAGAATACATAATGGGGAAAGGATAGTCTCTTCAGTAAATGGGATTGGGAAAACTAGAGATCTGCATGCAAAAAAATGAAATTGGATTCCTATTTTATACCATACACAAAAATCAACTCAAAAATAGATTAAAGCCTTAAACGTAAGACCTGAAACCATGACATGCCTAGAAGAAAACACAGGGGAAAAGCTCCATGACATTGGTCTTCGCAGTGATTTTTTTGGATATGATGCCAAAAGCACAGGCAACAAAAGGAAAAATAAACAAGTGGGGACTACGTCAAACTAAAAAGTTTCTGCACAGCAAAGGAAATAACGAAAGGCAACCATATGAAATGGGAGAAAATATCTGCAAATCATATATCTGATAAAGGGTTAATATCCAAAATATATAATGAACTCATACAACTCAATAGCAGAAAAACAAATAACCCAATTACAAATGGGCAAAAGACCTGAACAGACAATTTTTCCAAAGAAGACATACAATTGGGAAACAGGTACAGGAAAATGTGTTCATCATCATTAATCATTGGGGGGATGCAAGTGAAAACCACAGTGAGATAGCAACTCACATTTGTTAGGATGACTGTCATCAAAAAGTCAAAAGATAACAAATGTTGGGGAGGATGTGAGGAAAAGGGAATCCTTGTACACTGTTGGTGGAGATAGTACAGCATTTTGGAAAACAGTATGGAGGTTCCTCAGAAAATTAAAAATAGAACTATCATATGATCCAGTAATTTCACTTCTGGGTATATATCTAAAGGAAATAAAATCCCTGTCCTGATGAGATATCTGTACTCTCATGTTCGTGGCAGATTATTTGCAATAGCCAAGATACGGAAACAACCTAAGTGTCTACCAAAGGATGAATGGATAAAGAAAATGTGACAATATGTGTGTGTGTATATATATATATTATATCAAAATATCACATTGTATTCCTTAAAGATATGTGAGGAGTCTTCAGAAAGTTCATGGAGAGATTCATATTATCTTTTAATTCAGTTTTTTCCATGAACTTGTTGAAGAACCTTGTGCAATTTTTATTTGTCAATTATACCTCAGTAAAGCTGAAATAAAATAAAACTATAAGTATGCTGGATTATTTTTTTCCTTGATAAAATGGCTCAGGTCCAGAAAGCTCTTATGTACATAGTTTTATCTTATTTTCTGAGGGAGGTATATTCCTTTACTTCCCTTTCTTTTCTGGACTACATGTACCTGTTTTGTACTATCATATATACTCCCTATATATTGAGAGTTAGATTTATTTTTTAAGTTTAGAAATAAGGAGTTCTAAAGTTACGACTGAAATACTAGCTAAACATGAATTTTTACTTACTGGTTTTACTTGTCTAAAAGTTGGGGAAAAGTGGTTGTTTATTTGAGTTGATCATGTGTTTCTTTGCCTTTCAGGCAATCTGAGTATGGTGGTGTAGTGTTCGGTGGTTGGGCACGAATGGCCCAACCCATTGTGGCTTTCACAGTAGTTGAGGTTGCCAAGCCCAACATAGGTGAAAACTGGCCAACTCGAGTTCGTGCGGATGTTACCATCAATCTGAATGTCAGAGATCACATCAAAGATGAATGGGAAGGTAATTTTGTATTTCAAAAAGTGAAGTTACCTTTTTGCCTTTTTAGTTTATAGACTTTCACTTAGAGCATTAGCAAAGTACTTTTATTAAATGTTATCCTTTTAAACTTTTATTAAACTTTATCCTTGAACTTTTATTTAAATAATAGCAATTATCTTTCTAAATATTAGTAGTAAAAATACCAAGTATCATACAAGAATATTTTAATAAAGGGCATAAAATTGCATGCATATCAAAGTGCTTTGAAAATAGGAGTTTGCAAAGTTGAGAGGAGATCACTTTCAGTATTAAATTTAGTAAGTTAAATATGTATGGATGTGTAGGATCAATATAAAAAGAATAAAAACATTCATTGTTACTAAAGAAAAGGAGAAAACCCACATATAATTTGCACACATATACAGAGTAAATAAGGAAAATTAGTATTTTCAAAAGATAAAAGCAGCCAAGCTGAAAAGAATAGGGATGCATACACTTTGGGGAAAATAAAGGTACAAAATCAAAATTAGGCAATCCCAAAAGGAATTTTTAGGGGTGTAGTAAAACAACTCAAAGAAATAAAAATAATTTATTTTCACTAAAAGGAAAAGAATCAGTGATATCAGTTGTACTCAAGGATATATAATGATTATAGAGAAATTAAATGAGTTATTTCCCCTATTTTTTTTACTAGGAAAGATTTTAGGGAGAAGTGTTCTAGGTCACAATTTAGAGGCAGATGTGTTCAAAGTTACTAAGTGCAATAGAGTTGAAATGTTGGTAACATCGGTGCCAAAGTAGCACATGAGATGATTTTTAATTGGCACTTTCATATTTTTAATCCCAGCTGCCTGAGAGGTCTTACATGCTGTCCTGTTGTGAGAAACAGTAGTGGGTAGATTTTATCTCCTTCTACCTTCTTGGCATGCCAGAAGGTAAAGGATAGTCCCTTATTGGATCGGTTTTCAGAATATTGCTCCCAACACAGCTGTTTATAACGTTAGGGACTATATGATATATTTATTGAAGAATTCTGAGACTGTCCAGCAATGAAGCTGGCCAATGTTTAACAAATGGTTACTGTAGTGGGTATAGTTTGTGACAGACTGTTTTTGTGACTCCTTTGTTTTTCAAGAGAGTTCCAATCTGGTGCATTGTATTTTTAGGATAATGTGCACCTTTATTACTGCTGAGCCTTGAGAAAGACATTAAGTTGCTGGAGAAGGTCTTGTTCTTATTAAAAGGATATATTAAACACTGTTTTACACAGTGGGTAATAAACAGGTAATTAATTGGGTACCTCCAGAAGTAGAATGGTTGGAAATTTAAAAAGACTCTATAGAAATGTATAGATGACAGATGACAGGGCTGTGTTATAGTGTTAAGGGGAAAAAAAGGTGTTTTTTTCAGACACCCCCTTTCTTCTGTTACTTTGGAGACTGCTATCTGAAGGACATGAAACAGTCATCTTTTTTTTTTTTTTTTTTCTTTTTTCTTTTAAATATTGGCCGCTGGTAGAATGAAAAATAGAAAGGGTAAATTTTGATGGGCAAGATAGGGAATAGTAGAGTATTATGGGACAAGTAATTCATATCACGAGGTACGGTGGGGAAAGACGTGTTTTCTGAGAGGCTAGGGCCAAAATTCATCTGCTGTTTTAATCACAAATGGGGTAACCAAATAGAAAAAGGGAACAAAAAATGAGAGAGGTTGTGAACAGACATGAATATTGTCTTATGAAAATAGAGAATAGTTTTGAAGATTTTAAACTAAATGCTATAAAATATTCCTCTTGTCCCTTTGAGAAGGTGTGAAGCTCAGGCCCTTATCTTCTCTGTTACCCCAGTTTAAAATTAAGCAAACAGAATTAATGAAACTGAAATGCCGATTCTGCTGCAGAAGGCACAGCTAGGATGGGGTGGATACAGATGATTGGAAGGAAAGAGATAGTTGAGCTCATTGTAATGTAGGTTTTTTTTAAATGTAGATCTAAGATATCCCATGGTAAAATGATCTGCTTTAGGAGGGAGCAAGTGGTCATCCCTCAGTAATGCCAAAAAGTAACTTCTGCACTGATAAGGACTAAATGACTTCTCAAGGCTGCTTTGTCTGTAAGACTTAGATATTTCTAGTGAGCTATACAGATCAGATGTCATGCAAGCAGTACAACTCAGATAGTAGAGCATTTCCCCTTAGCTCTCATTGCTTCTCCTGCTTCTTTGCATAGAATTTATTGGGAAAGAAATAAAGTCATTATTATGAATCAGATTTATTATTTCTACCTTTACCCACACTTGAACACCACTCCAAATTAAAGCAAACCATAATAGTTTGAGTACAATAGCCACACACTCACTGCTGATTTGATTTAGTTGTATTTCTTGTTACCAAAGTTGTAAGCAAGCATACTGTTCAAATTTGCATTTATATCATATGATGCCTAACAAAACTGGATCAAAAAAGATGGGAAGATTAAGTGGTGTGACATTACATTCCGTGAGGTCTAATTTTATATTTTGTCTTACAGTTTCTATACTGTTAATAGATCTGGGAAGTCATTTGAGTTCATTATTTGGTCTAATGACTGAGAAGCTATGGACTTTGACACAAGTCTATTTCTTGACATTCACTAATAAAAATTTTTACTGTTTGCCAACAGAAACTATATATGTTCATCCATCTTTCTCAGGATGATATCTGTAAACAGCACTTTGTGTCTTAGTGAATTATTCTTCAGTTGACTCGTTTTAGTGAAATATAAGTAGGCTGTCTTTGAAATGACACTGATGGATAATTTAAATTGATGTTAGAAACCTGCTAAATATGATGTAGATGGATTATATATGCCAGCCATATTTTTGGTTACTTATTAAGAATGTTAGAAATAAGATGATGAGTATCCAATTTTGGAGCTGTAGCATGTCTTGGAGGGCTTATTCAGTGATGTATTTGTGGTATAAAAGTTTCTAATTTTAATATAAAGGGAGATTTTCATTCTAATGATTGCTATCACACATTGAATACTAAATATCATAGGGAAACTCATAATTATGTTACAGTGCAAATATAATCATTGATCACCCTGATTTTTAAATGTTTTTTATATCTCTGTTCCAGAGATAAAGGTTGAGAATTTGCCAACAAAAGGATGAAAACAGTGAAATTCCAATAAATGAAGATGTCTTTATGTTTTACCAGGTCTTCGTAAGCATGATGTATGCTTTTTAATTACTGTGCGTCCCACAAAACCTTATGGCACTAAGTTTGACCGGAGGAGACCTTTTATTGAACAGGTTGGCCTGGTTTATGTCAGAGGCTGTGAAATCCAGGGCATGCTGGATGATAAAGGACGTGTCATTGAAGATGGTATGGTGATCAGTATTTTTGAAAGAATTCTCATATGTGTACAGAATAATACATTTCCTTGCCTTTTTCCTTTTTGTTTCTTAGGTGATATTTTTTAGTTGTTTTACATACTAAATTGACACAAAGGATTATGTATAAAATATGTGTAGGGTACTTACCACATAGTCTTAGAAATAGGCGATATGATTTCAAAATTCCCATGTTAGGTATTAGAAAGAACTAGATCTTTTGAAATCTTTATTCAAAACTTCCCTTTATACTGCTTACAATACTGTTTTTAAAAACCTCTAAATACCTCTTACAATTGTTCAAGCTTTTTGGTATTCAGTGATATATTTGCTTAATTTTTTCTTAAGTTTTACTGTTTTTGTTCATTATAGCAATGATTCTCAATTGAGAATGGTATTACCCTATATTTGGAAATATGTGGTGATATTTAGGCTGTCAAACGACTGAGGTAGTAACAGAGAATGAAAGCCATTGGCATTTGGTGGAGGGGGCCAAGAATTCTAAGCATCTAAACAGAACTGTCTTATGAAAGGAGTTGCCCTGTCTAAGATGCCAGCATTATCCCATTTAAAAACACTGCTTTGCAGGGTTAGTCAGCTCTTTGATTTTTTTATGCTTATTACTGATTATCCCTTTGAAATTCTTTCTTCTATTGTCCTGACTTCCTTTATAATGCTTATTATTAAATTATAACTGCATCCATGTCTTGTGCTTATTTTATAAATCAGTTGCTAAACTTCCCTTGAAACTTGAATCAGCTTCTACCACCTGTGATTTCGAGATCACACCATTGCTTACCTGATGATGATTAGGCTATTCATCTCTAGAATAAAAGAAAATAAGAGAAGGGAAAGGAGGATGGGGGGAATAAGCACAAGGCCACATAATGAGACCAAAGTTGCAGTGCCAAGGCTCCCCCCAAAACCAGAGGGAAGGCAAAGGAACAAGAAAAAGCCTCTGGGCTTTCAGCCATTAGTATCCCATATTTCTGTGCATGTGAAATTTCCTTTCATACTGGTGATATTAGGTATGGAATGTAGAAGGATGAGAAGTGTGATCAACTTCTGTCAAAGTAAGGAATAAGAAAACAGTGTCTTAAATCTTAAAATACATACATTTATTTAACCAGAAAATATTTATTGAATACTTACTATTTATAAGGCAGCAGTAAGAACTGTGAGTGACTAACAAGAATAATGATAAGTTCATTGACTTCTAAGAGCTATTTTAGTTGAGGACATATACTTTTTTTCTTTTTTCTTTTTTTTTTTTCCTTTTTGTCTTTTTTCTTGTCTGGCAACGGATCGCAACCCTCAGTGTCGAGCATTGCATCATAAACATTACATGACTATTGTGGGAAGAAATAGTAAGAATTTAGAGAAAGGAGAAAATACTTTCAGATTCTTGGAAATTGAAATGGATGAGTGGAAGGCATTGTAGTCGGGGTGGGGGAGTGTTAGAGTTAAGTGTGGACAGTTTACTAATCATTTCTAGAAAAGAAATACTGGTAACTGAACTTCGATGTTTGAAAAGTAGGTGTTTCATTTAACAAAGCTTTTCAAAATGTCCAGGACCTGAACCCAGACCCAATCTTAGAGGAGAGTCAAGGACATTTAGAGTGTTTTTGGATCCGAACCAGTATCAACAAGATATGACCAGTACTATACAAAACGGAGCAGAAGATGTATATGACACTTTCAATGTAATAATGAGGAGAAAACCAAAGGAAAATAACTTTAAGGTAATTTTTGGCCTATGTAACTAAAAGTACTATGTTGTAATTTAACTTTTAAGACATAAAAGGTATTGGGTAAGAAAAAGATTTGTTCACAAAATAATAATCACTGCTTTTATTTTTATTCTAAATAGTCCTCTTAAATTCGTAACATGTCAGTTAAATTTAAAAACTTAAGGAAATTCATTTGTTAAATCTATTTTGTCTTATGAGAAGTTTAAAAACTTAAAAATATAAATGAATCCAGGTGTTTTCTAAAGGTCAGCCTCCTTCCTTGCTTTTTGTATATTAGGAACTCAGTTTATGCCCCAGTATCAGATGAAGAAAACTGTTTGCTTACTTGTTTATTGAGGCTTCTTTTTTAAACCAAAAGTAGGTGTACTTCTAAATCACTTTAAGAACACAGATATGGAACCTCTAGGCTCCGATTATGATATAATGTATTTATATTTTACTCATTAGTGGAAAAGAGAGATTTGGGGGCTGTAGAGTTTTACTTTTATAATAACTGTGGGGAGAAGGGTTCTAGTAATGGAAGGTTTTTAAAAATTGTTATTTGAACCAATATTATAAAACTTAAACATTGAGCAGTTCTAACATTTGATAACATCTAGCTTCTGCAGAAATAGAAAATGCCTTTCTTTTCTCTCTCCCCCAAAGTGCAGTATTTCTTACATGTTCCTATCACTTTATTACCTTTTCTTACCCATTGTGATTAAAAAAAGAAAACCAAAGAAACTTGTCCATCTCACCCTGTTGTTGAAGACAAGAAGGATGGAGATATCCTTGATTTCTTTTTGTCTCACACCCCACATCCAATCCATCAGTAAGTCTGATTAGCTCATCACCTCTACTTATGCCATGTTCAAGACACCTTCATCTCTCACTTCCCTGCTTCCATTCTTACCCACTAATCCTCTTATACTCTTCTCTGCATAGTGGCTGAATGATCCTTTTAAAATGTAAATCATAGCTTGGTACCCCTGTTGAGCATTCTTTAATGGTTTCTCATCACAAAGTTCTTGCTATAATCCAATAGATGTTGTCAGTATCTGTCCTCTGGTTATCTCTCCAGCATCATTTTCTAACACTTTTCCCTTATTCAGTTTTTGCCAGCCACTCTGACCTTTTTGCTATTCTTTAATAATCCAAGACTGCACATGGTGTTTCTTCCACCTAGACAATTTCCCCTGATATTTATGTGGTTTGTTCCCTTACTTTACATGTGCAATGTCACCTCCTAAGAGAAGCCTTCCCCGGCAGCCTTAGCTAAAGTAGCATCTCCCCTTCTCATCATTCTCTGTCCTATTTTCTTTATTTTTCCTCAAAGCCCTTATCATACCTGATGATTATGCATTTGTTATTTATCTGACTTCCCCATTAGAATGCAAGTCTGTGAGGGCAGGGTCTTTGTTTTGTCTCTCAGCATATCTCTAGCACCTAGAATTGTGCCTAGTATATAATATGTGCTTAATAAATACCTATCGAGTGAATGAAGGATGGAGAAATCTAAGAGTCTCCAAGTTTTGCAGTACCTAGGACAGTCTTACATTTAATCAGTTTTCAGTAAATGAATCTCAGTCATGTCAGTAAAAACTAAAAAAAAAATTTTTATGTTCATTTTTTGACCATTTTATTTAGTACCTATGGTGTGTCTGATTTTGTTCTAAGTTACGTGGAGCTTATAAAGATGAATCAGACACAGCTTAAACCTTTAGGGAGCTTATACCACTAACAAGGGAAGTTAGAAATGTAAACAAAAAACTACCATGAAAGCTTAGAAGGTGCCACAAGCCATAAGAAGGGTACAGATAAAATTGTCATGGAAGTTCAAAGGAGGTATTCAGGTTCTGTTCCAAGGAAGAGGGGGAATGATTAACTTGCCTGTGTTTGAGAAAGGAAGAATGCTCTTTTGGTGTTTTTGATGTTTCGTATGTACCTGGGCAGCATCCCTCAGAGGGTACAGATAAAATTGTCATGGAAGTTCAAAGGAGGTATTCAGGTTCTGTTCCAAGGAAGAGGGGGAATGATTAACTTGCCTGTGTTTGGGAAAGGAAGAATGCTCTTTTGGTGTTTTTGATGTTTCGTATGTACCTGGGCAGCATCCCTCATTTGTTTCCTTCTCTCTTTTCCAATTCATACAGCCTGTCCTAATCTGGATACTTTTACTTCTTGCCTGGACAGTTGCAATAGCCTCCTCTTTCTCTATTCTTAGTCTCCTTAAAGAGTCACCTGTTTTTGATACATTTCCTCCTACTGAAAGAACACTGACCATTTTACTCTGCTTCTCAAAACATTTCTGTGACTTTCCATTAATGATGAAATAATTCAAAGCTCCTTCACAAATCCTTTCCTTGAGCTAAATTAAAATTCCACTTTCCTAATGTTAAAAGTCTCCCTGTGTCCATCTCTCATCTACAATGGACTGTGTTCCCATTTTATTTTGTAATATTCTTCGCTGTTTGCCACTTCTTTTTTTTCCTTTTTGTCTTTTTTCGTGTCCGGCAACGGATTGCAACCCTCGGTGTTGCGCCCGCACCGGACCGGGACTGGCAACGGGATCGCAACCCTCGGTGTTGCTCCCACACCTCGCTCAGCCAGTGAGCGGGAACCGGTCTGTATGTGGGATCCGAACCCTCGGCAGGAGCGCCACCGCGCTCCCAAGCAGCGCACTGTAGCAGTGCGCCACCGGGCCGGCCCTTGCCACATTCTGCTGTAGTTAAGGACATATTTTATTTTCCCGCTAGAATTATAATTTCCTTAGTGAGTAGAGCCCTCATCTTATTTATCATTGTTATGTGAACCTACTCATTTATCTGACTATTCATCCATTTGCTTTTCCTATATATTAACTGTTCTAGATTCTTGCTCTTGTGGAAATTATTTTTTAGTGGGGATTAAACAGACGATAAGCAAATAACCAAGTACCTGACAAAGAGAAGTTCAGGTAGTAGTAAATGGAAGAACATAAAATAAGACAATTGATTAAGAGTATGATTAACATATACTATCCTGTTATTTTCAAAAGTGAGATTATGTAGCATTTATTTAAAAAATGGGTGATTTGCTTATTTATTTTTTGAAATTAATAGCCTAGCCTCCTAATTCCATATGTGGGATAGATCACTTTGTTGAAATATTTTTTGGAAAGTCTAAGAATTTGCCTTGGCTTTTGGTAAGTACTTTTGATGTTGTATATGTGTTAACTACTATGGTGATCATTTATCATTGTCCTGATTCTTTCATTCTGAAATTTTGTTTGGTATTTTCTACATTTTTATCATGTTAACTATTTTTTATTTCTCACAATGGTAATTTTAATATTTCTGACTTGTTATATTGTTATAGGCATCGGGAGAAAATCACCTTTTGAGACTGATATAGAAAAAGAGAAAAAGATTTTATTTTCCAGCGGCTGGGACCACACCAGCCAATTCAGGGTGCGGCAGGGGGTCGCCTTTGTTCTAGGGGTTTTTTTTGTCTTTTTTCCGTGTCCGGCAACGGATCGCAACCCTCAGTGTTGCCCCCGTACCGGACCGGGGACTGGCAACGGGATTGCAACCCTCGGTGTTGCTCCCGCACCCCGCTGATCCAGTGACCGGG